ACTGGCGAGGGCGTGGGCACGGGCGCCTGCACGATCGTCTCCAGCTCGTCCTCCAGCGGAAATTTGCCAGGTGTATTCGAACTCATGTACAATTCCTCACAACTCTGCGAAATTAAATAAATAACGTCAAAAGCGTACATATATAGTTTTAATATGTAAATATCTAAAGCAATGCGATATAAACTCAACATGATTGCGACTACCATTCCTTGATTTTATTATTTTATTAAACAATACCTCTTGTGTTGCACATAATTAATGAAAATTGTAAATAAATTATGTTACCACATTATTGATGAGAGATTCGTCTGTAGAACTGTTGTGTGAGGAGGGGCGCGGCGAGGCCGGCGGCAGCAGCTCGTTGCTGGACGTCACTGGCATCTGGAATTGATACACACATTAATTAATGCACAGTTATTTAATGATCACTTAGAAACTCCCTTAATGTAGATTGCTTTATTACGAGAGTATGATAGTTACGAAACTGTTATATTTATCGAATTTTTATACGATGATTCCATTTGTGTCTAGGTATGTGATGAGATAAATTGCGTGAGAAATGCCATGATCAAGTAGGGAGTGGACGAGCGACTGAGATGAATGACCCTAAGGGTATTCCCTAAGAGAGTAGACTCACTAAGGTTCTGTGCATCTTTTGTCTATCGGATAATGACGGGGTGATGTTTGTTTCAATTTCTTTGTTGGCTATACGATTGATACCGTACCTGTTTTTTACTCATCTTAGGCGGCAATGCAGGCGGCAGAGCGGCGGGGCTGGTACCCGCCGACTTACGCACCATGCTCTCATCGGAACCACTAGAAATACAATAATAATCACATTAATAAATTTATCTTTAACTGTAATTAACTTGTTTTATTAATTTACTTTATAATAATTAATTAATTTTTAATTTACTAATTTACCTAAGTGCAGGAGGTGTACCAAAGTGTTGCAAGGTGAAGGACTGTGCGATAGAGCATTGCACCTGCTTGTGACGCTGAACGCTGATTGTACCGGCCGCGCTGTGCTGTGCACTGAAATTATATACATTTTTTATACTTTTGTATACAATAGTATAGTAGCTTTCACCCACGACTCCGTCAAGGTGGAATTTAAAAAAAAAAACATTTTAAAGAAAGATTAAGTAGCCTATGTTTTCTTCCAAACTATCTACATATATGCCAAATTTCATCGAGATCCGTTCAGCGGTTTAGGCCACAAACTCTAACAAAATCCATACATACTTTCAAACTTTCGCATTTATAATATTAGTAAGAAGTAAAATTTAAAAATTAGATTTGATAGACCAATAATAAATTGTTATTTTCTTGCTGTATTTGCTAGAGTACATGAGTAGATTATTTAGACTTCCTTATCCAAACATGTGCTCATTATTTTTGTCATTAAAACCCCCTTTAACCTTTTTTCTCGACTTCTAAGAACCATTTGGTAAAATTATAAAACTTCTTGAATATCTGATGGATTTTTTATATTGTAATAGATAAATGTGATACCTGGCCAAGTTGTAAGTGTGTATGGAGTGACGGAACATATCCGATGGCGCGGCGACGCTGTTAGGCGGATGGCTGCAGTTCCCGAACATCTCCATGTAAGCCATAACTGCACACAACAGAATATTATTGCACAAAACTATATCTCAAGTGCGAGACTCGACAGCACTATTAGTGGAAACAATGTAAACTAATAACAAGAAGCGAGCGTGTACCGCTCTAACAAATTAACAAACAGCAAGGGCGAATGATCGTAATGAAGCGCGGTACAGTCAGCCAAAAATATAAGCATTAATATAATGATTGAACAATTAGTAAAGAAATATGTATGTAATTTATGTAGTCAAAACAGAGAATATTTGTAGATTACTTTATAGTAAATTGAAGTGCTAACACCCAAAAATAAAAGTACATGGTGTATTAAGTGATTCAAGTTATTTTATAAGTTTAGTTTTCTAAAGTGACTTCAAATTGTTTTATTTGTATTAAATAAAAAATAAACTTTATTGAATTTCTACTGATTTATTAACGAGAAGATTTAATGAAATTTAAAGATACGTTTTAATCGCATTTAGCGCGTCCAATTAAACACAAACATAACAATAGATCGCTGTTGCTGACTGTACATGCATCATCTGGAGTGTGAATGCGAAATTCCAAATCTGTTAACTGACAAAATAAAGCGTAAGGCAATTAACACGTGAAAAAGCAAGCTGATAGTTGATAGATGACGTCGATAGATCGAGGGTAAGCAGAGAGCACCGCTACACAACTATGAGCCTCCAACGCGTCTGTGTCTTGGAGTGGACCTGTGATACGAGCCAAATTCAGTGCGTCCTAACACCGTCTCTCAGTTAAGGACACCGCACACGTGGAAACGATTAAGAATATTAACCACATGCCAGAAAAAAAGAAAAAAAACATTTTTCTGCAGCATAGAAAATAAGTTAACAAGGTTGTTTTCACAGTTTACAAGTATTTTTTTAGAAAAATTAATACATTTTAGATTTGCAAATTCTCAAATTTTGTTCAGATTAAATACAAGTAACAAATTGTTATTATTTGAAAATTTTGCCAAAGCATGATATAAATCAATTTAATGAGCAATAATAAAGTTCGATGTAGAATGTGCGGTGACCTTTATCGAGGGTGTTGTTAGCTAGTGATCGCGTGACATGCATAGATCCACTCACCGCTGTAGGCGACGCTTTGGAACACTGCCGCGCGCCACCGGCACAACAGACAACATGCCGTTATATTCCCGTTTTATGTTAAATATCAATAAGCCCCAATAATATATGTTTTTAGAAAGACGACCTATTGCCGGCATACACGATCAGGTTTAAACAGTGGGCATGTTGGCGACATTTTTAGCGGCAACACGCCGAATGCTTAAAACAGTCGTGTACTGTGGCCCTTATTTTCACAGGATAACGTTATAAACAAACCCAGTTGTATATAAATGATAAATATATACGATAAAACTTAAATACATGTTTAATCATTTAAAAAATAATAAATATGTTTAATATATAAAATCTATTGTATTCCCGAAACCCTTTTGTAATATAAATATATTAATATAAAACTCTGTTCAAAGTAATTTACATATGTTTATAATTACTTTTATAGCCTGACCAGGAATATAAAAATCTCGCCATATTCTATGAAAATATGAAACTAAATACACATCATAATTTAAATATGGTAAACGAATGAAGCCCACGCCAGGTTCTTCATGTTCTTGGTTAGACTATATACACTTTTGATATATTTCTCCACAGACCACCCAATGATAGATAATGTAACATTCACGTAAAATGTCTGTTGCATGAGAAAATGTCGATACAACTAACCGTGCAATTCCGCTGCCGTAACATTTGTATTATAATATTTTGTCTCTGCTTTTCTTTAGAAAATCTGATCGATATCGATATATTTACCCGAATGTATGCAAATGTAAGGAGTAAACCTATTTTGAGTGGGGTGTCTGTCGAAGTATTCCTTTGTGGAGTAACAAAGAGGTAATATTATTCATTAATGATACAAATGTTTTGGCAGTGGCAACGCACGACACCGCATTAAACGCAATGGACAGGATTGTGCAAGGACAGTTCACATGCGAGATGCAACGAACAACCTGCATTCAAATCATACCCACACTTATGTCAACAAAAAACAATTTAAAATAAGTTATTTCCTAATCAAATTTCCTTTATCAATACTTTTGTGACTATTATTATGTCCTTATTCTTTACTATTTCATGTCGTAACGAGGTTTTTAAATAAAATAATTAGACAAAATCACGATGAACTATTTAAGTTATTAAAAGTGTTCACATTTTTTTAGATAATATTTGTTATACGTTAATTTTGTGTAATATAATTACAGTAAACCTCCGTATAAAGCGGTCGATGGTACCGGGTTATAAGAAATCACGTACGATTCCCCCGTATAACACGTTTTTCAAAAAAACCGTGGTATAAATCGCGTTATAGGGAGAGATTCCCGCGTTATATGGAGGTACGGAAAGGCGTTGTAGGGAGATTTACTGTGTAAGAAGTACGATATAGTTGACATTGGGATGTATATTGTAATACTGACTGTGTTTCTTCTTGAGCGGCAGCGGCGGCGGGCGCGGCGGGTGGTGGTCGGCCAGCGTGTGCGGCCGCGCCTCGCCGTGCAGCGAGCACACCGGGCTCTGGCTGCAACGCAACACATAACTTGTCTCATATACTTCTATAGGGAGAAAATGAGATAAAATACCGCTGATCTCTTTTTACTAGACGATTTTAGACATTACTGTACTTTAGCTTTATCAATATAGAAGCATCACGCTCGACCAGTAACGTAAGATATTATTGTACACCATTACTTTTCTATTATAAGCGTAAAATCTGATCAGAAATATAAAAATCCTCGCGTTTGGCGTATAATCGTGGAACTAATTTATTTGAGTACATTAGAAAGTGATGTTATAAAGAAGTCGATTGAACAGCATCTTCACAGAAAAGGGCTTTACTACTTACTGAGGTTAAACACTGTCCTAACAATAAATAACACTGCGTTAATATCTAAATAACACTCATAACCTCCCAGTCCGTCGTGGTAAATAAGAACGCTTTAGTAAACCAGGGCGGTATTTAAATCACGCCCAGGGGATAATAGTAGATAGATAGTCTTGGCGCTATAATAAGGCTCTTTGATACATTTTACTTTTTT